AAAAAAGTCTACTCAGAATTCATGAGAAAGATACGACAAAATTCATATATAAAAATAAGTTTGAATAAGTTTGCAAAATAAAGAAAGAAAAGAACACAATTTATCTCACAATCCTTCCCCAGCAAATCCCTAGAATTTCTCTTCAAGCACTTTCCCTCTTTACAAGTACTCTCAATTCTCTACTAAAAATGTAATGAAGAAGAAATCTGTCACCTTCCCTCTCCTCTTACAATCCTTGAAGAAAATCTCCAAGCCCTTCCTTTCACTCTCACGCCACACACACACACACACAAAACTCACGCCCACACACTCTTAGTCCTAGACTTCCCTCTCTTTTATAAAAAGCCGCCTCCCTCCAAAAAGAATTCAAAATTTCCTCCAAAATTCTATCCAAAAGTCAACTCTTTTGAATTCAAAATACATGTTCATTGATTGAAGAGACATATCTTTTCATAAAAACCTTTTAAAGTGTCTTGATGCGTTGAATCACTCAAATAGGTGTTTAGAACAAGTGTCCCTTTGAAAATTTGAGCAAAAACTCATCTCCGACGCATCTGACGCCAAATCGGTGCATCATGCACCAGTTCTCTGGATTTTGGAGCATCATGCATCGGTTTGGCGCATCATGCGCCACCATGCAGAAGCTCCACTGTTTTGCTCCGTTTGGCTACGTTTCGTCTCGTTTCAGTTGCGTTTTGCTCCTAATAAATATACCTACAAAATAAGCATGAAAACAATATTTCTTTAAAGTGTAATTCCATTAAAAAAACATGTGAGAAATGTAAAGTAGATTAAGCATAGAAAGAAATATCAAAATGTGTCAAGTGAGAATTTTCTTTATTGCTTGTTTTTACTTCAAATTGCACCATTTTTGCTTCATTTTATTCATAAGTTCATTTCTTGTACCTGAAACCAAAAATTTGCAAGATACATCCCTTTAAAGTGTAATATCATTAAAAATCAATAAAATTGAGCATAATATATATATGAAAAAATAGGTAATTTTTAGACGTGTCACAGATCCAAAACTATAGTGATTCCAAGTTTACCAGCAATATTGTAAATATTATTCTCATTCCAACAACATAGAGAAAGATTCATGAATATCATCCAAATAGGTATATCTTTAAAATCTTCCTTCACCGGTCCAAAATCATGTGATCAACGTTTAAAAATAAAAGGTTTACCAAAACTAAAATAAGGAGCACCAAATAAAACTTATTAAAATCTTCAATATAGCTTAACCTAAAAAGAAAAAAATCCTCTATAAGAGAAAAAAGATCCACAAAGCCTTCCAGTTTCTAAAATTTACTAATGCTTTGTAAAAGGTTATCATAAAAGGTTCTTTTCCCCAATGCATGTCCAACAAAAGCTATACTACATTATTTCAAGTCCTCATCATTTTTTCCTCAGAGAAATAAATTTTTTCTTCTATATTAGGCACATATGACAGAGTAAAAGAAGATGAACCAATAAAATTAGATGAGATATAACCCCTCCAATTTAGAGTTGGAGAAGGTCCAAGAAAATATCAAAAGGAGGAAGAAGAGAGTGAAGGAAAAGAAGAAAGAGCTAAAACTTCAAAAGGGCAAAACCTCTAAAACCGAAAGTAACACCAAAACAAAGCAGGAGGGTTAAGAAGAAACCATTATTTTCTACATGATCATATTTGAGTTGACTATAACATGTCAAACACCATAGGAAAGTAGTGTATTAAAGTAAGAATTTGTGTCATAATTTTTTCAATGTAATTATTAGCATCAATTTTTGTGTCAGATTTATGACGAACTTGGATGCTAGTTAAATGATGAGATTCACATTGATGTTTATGCTGACATTGCTTCAGAATGGTTCGTTCAATAAGTTTACTTAATAGCATCAAATTTTAGCCGATGCAAATCAGACAAAATTTGACACAAATGCCCTAAAATATGGATCCCACACCACAATCGCTCATTTCTTTTTTTTTTCCTTCATCTTTGTTCACCCTGAAGCATCTTCTGGTGATTGTCCTTCACCTACTTCTTTGGTGATTTTAAGTGCACTCCACCAATAAAATTGCGGCTCCGACGATCTCCTCTCCACACCAAACTTAAGGTATTATTTTCTTCTCTCGTACATCTCTCTTTCACGAGAGATTTTTTATTTTATTCATTCCAAACTGTATAAAAATTGATATTTTATCGTTAGGTATTAATGCATATGATTTATTTTATTATGTATATGGTGTTTAAAGTGTAAGTGTAGATATGTAATGTGTACAATTTGTGTTGTTATAGGACTATAAAGGATGTTTAGGTGTGGTTGATATGTACATAAACAAGTTAGTGGTGCTCCTATAGTTGAAAAGGGAAGCATAAAATTAAGTTATTTTTTGTTGAGATGAGCATGCATAGGCAGATGAGTGGCTTAACGCTTAGAGAAAAAATGTGAAACAAACATATTCCTCAAAAAGGTTGGGGTTGCTTTTGTTGTTGAAAAGATTCAAGAGAGTCGTCCTATATGGTTTGGTCACATTAAACGTCGGCCATTTGATGATTATATTACGAGTGATTATTTTTTAAATTTTGGTTTTATTGTTCAAAGTAAAACATTTTATGTAGATGGGAGTGTTTTTAGTTAAATTCAAGTTAAAGGTTCGAAGTGGAGGAAAGCAACAAACCCATTATGTGATTGAAAGTCCCAATTAGACTTAAGTAAAATTTAGTAAGATGGAGACAATTCTTCCAATGCATTATGGGACAGAATGTTGGCCTGCGAAGATAAACAAAAAAGTAAATTAAGTGTTCTTGAGATGAGAAGGCTTATGTGGATGAGTGGTTTTACACTTAGAGACAGAACATGAAACAAATATATCCGTGAATGGTTTGGTGTAGCTCTAGCGGCGTACATTATTAGAGAGTGTTGCCTTAGATAATTTTAATTTATTTTATTATACTAAATATTATTGCACAATTTCTAATTTGAAGGAGTCTTTCTACTGGCTAACAGAGCATCATTAGCAGATCCGTCACGTTTTTTAGGTTCGTGACAGGCATCAGTTAAGTGACTCTTTCACCATAGTCTGCATGAAGGGAAGGCAACCCATCTGGGTCGAGGAGGAGATCTGGGTTGAGTTGAACAAAGCTTGGGCCTCCTGATCACAGGAAGAGGCAAACCAACCAACAAAATTAGATGTCCGAAGCCCGGGAGTGCTACACTCCATATTAGAGGCTCGATTCCCCACATTAAGCACTATAGGAGGCTGATGAGATTCTCTAAAAATTCAAAAATTTAATGGTAGGTGTAATCATGCGGTACTAATAATTTTCTTAAGATACACAGGAAAAAGGAGCTTGGTCACCCTCCCTCTACTATGGAGCTTCATGTTCGAATGCATTGGTGCCTGAAGATTCAGCAGTAGGTCTCAAACCTTTCTCAGTGGGTCAATATAAGTAAAAAAAAGATTTTTTTTTAACATTTATTTTGATTCTTAATGTAAATAATGATAATTAATCATTAATTTTTATTATGTATGAGTACGAGCAACTCCAAGAGAGCCAGTTGGTCAGCTAGAGCTCGCATCTCCAACCATCAGTGGTAGCCAATTCAGTAGCGTGCAATCTGATTTTGAGCTATTAAAGCAGGCAGAGCATAAGGAGCTTGTTAGAGGAGTCAGTGCTATGAATGAAGAGTTCTGTTGGTGCGTGATTAGATACACAAAGGTTAACATAGAGTTGAAGATTCCATAGCACATCTAATGGATAGTATTGCAGGTCGCCAAAGCGTCTCATGAATTCCTTGGATATGGAGGAGGAGGTGGAGGAGGAGCATCATTAGGAGTTTTATGTTTTTTTATTCTTTTTTAGCCTGTGAACCTATATTATGAGTTTAGATGTGAAATTTTGAGAATTTAGATTAAAATTTTTTTATGTTATGTTTTTTTTCATTGGTGTTACTCGTTTGTATTTTAGATTTTGACTAGTGATGATTGATAAGTAAAGCATTGAGCTATTGGTTTTTTTTTATTGTGTGTAGGTTATGAAAATTAGATAGTTCTTTTATATTTTTTTTCTGTGCAATAGGTTTGTGTTGGATTTGCCTTGGAGATTTTGGCGCTAACCCTTCAATCATTTTAATGCACTACGATACAATCTGACGTTAAAACGACGCAAAAATGTGGCTGATAATTTTCGACGTGAAACCGACGTTAAATGTTGTCTCGGAGCGGGAGACGTCGTAACTTGTTAACAGTGAAAGTTTCAGACGCTGATGGTGACATAAACAATTGAAGTCGACTTATTTCGACACTAATTACATTACCCACCCTTTTTTTAATGTCGACGCCTTGGATGTCAAAAATTGTCTTTAAACTATCTGCCTCTAAACTATGTAAGTGTCGGATTTCCATATTCTAGAGTCGAATTTTTTCGATGCTAAATGTTAGAAACCTTCTAGTGAATTCATTTTCATGACAAGCTCTAATTTGATTCGTGAACTCAGCTTCAAGCCACTTCAGATGGTTCAAGGCACAAACATACTTGAAATGATGATTTTATATAAATTCTTAAATATTATCAAAATTTTGAAATTCAATCCTAGATATTCTTATAATTGAACCAAAACTCATACTTTGATGAGACTAATCTTCAAGCCCTATCAAAGATACTTCCTTTGACTTGCCATTATAATTATATCCATTTATATGGCATCCAAAATTATTCACAAATCACAGTACATGACAAGAAATATAAGCTGTAATAGAGACAAGCCCTTCTGCCTCCACAGCTTACAATCAACAACATATGTCAAGTTATACTCTGCTTTCAGTTGCCTGACTAATAAATGAACTCAGTCAGCTTGTCTTGCCATAAAGAATCCAGCTGCCTGATTGCAACTTAGCCGGCTAACCCGGCCATGCCGGCCTCAGCTGATCAATAATTATACTTTAAACTTTAACTTAATTATTATATTAATGAATGAACTCATTCCCATTTTCACTTCTATTTGAAGGAAGAAGAGTCTGTTGTACTCTTTCGATCTGCTGTTCTCAGAGAACATCATCGCCGGTGAAGAAAACGCATCGGCGATCACCATGGGGGCTGCGCTGAGCTCTTGCTGTGCGGAGGAGAAGGTCGGCACACAAGGGTGAGATTTAGGCTAAGTTCGATTCTGCTTTTCGTACTGATTCTGGGGAGAAAATATTACTTCCAGACTCCAGATGTCCGGATAACGGCCCGGATGCAACGCGGATGGCGGAGGTCTGATTCCTCCCCTCCTCTGCGGCATCCGGGCCGTTGTCCGGAAATCTTATCAGCTTTCATGAACGTGAAGAAGAAGAAAAATATGTTTTTGGAGAAGGGGCTGAGATTAATTTTTCTTATTTAATTTCCATACTTCTGTATTAGTGTATATAAATTTTGATTTATATAGCATGATATTAATGTAACATAAGTATGAATTTTATTCTATGTTTTCCTGTATATAGATATGTTGGAGGGCCGGAAAGCTCATCATGGAGATTGTTTACTTATAAGGAGCTCCATACTGCCACCAATGGCTTCAGCGAAGATTACAAGCTTGGGGAGGGGGGATTTGGAAGTGTATATTGGGGAAAGACAACGGATGGTCTTCAGGTACTTTGCGTACTTCGTTTAGCATATAAAAAAACAATCTTTATAGTTCAAATATTGCAGTTCTTACAATTTCAAAAACATCCAATTGCAATCTGTTAAACTAGCTTTAATATTTGGTTAAACATAATTAATAATTCAGATAAAATCTTATGTTCACAAAATTTTCAGATGTAATAATGATTTAATGATCTTTACATACAATAAAGATCTTCAATTTTGTAGATCTTATATATAAACCATAACTAATCAAGTTTCTTCTTTTCTTAAAATTTTAATTAAAAAATGTCCATTTTTGGATGAACTCACTCAGATTGCAGTGAAAAAACTGAAAGCCATGAATTCAAAAGCTGAGATGGAGTTTGCTGTGGAGGTGGAGATACTTGGAAGGGTTAGGCACAAAAACCTATTGGGACTTAGAGGATACTGTGCTGGAGTTGATCAAAGGCTTATAGTATACGACTATATGCCCAACCTCAGCCTGCTTTCTCATCTTCACGGCCAATTTGCAGATGAAATGCGCTTGGATTGGAAGAAGAGAATGAATATTATAATTGGATCCGCACAAGGCTTGGTGTAAGTCCTCTTTTTGTTCTTCTTTGGTCAATAAATAATGGGAAATTTACAAACTTACCACACAATTCCTTTCAAATTATACATTCAACACCAAGTTCTATCCGTAAGTCCTTTTTTTTTTCTTACATATTATAATCATATTCATATATACGGTCGGAACTTGGAGCGATTATTGGGTGCGGAGAGGGCACGCAGAGCTGCGTGCGCTCTCCGATCACGACCGGAACTTGAGTTCTAATCTCTCAGTTTTACAGTCCAGTCAACTTTCCTTCGTGTTTGATGCTCTAGATTTCTCTTTTGCATCCTTTGTCATCAGTCTTCCATATTAATATGAGAAGGATCATTTCCTACAAATTATTTATTATTAAGGTTTACATATATACATCACAATTTTTATGTATTTACATTTCTAAACTCAAAATCTTACAAATAACCTAAAAAATATCATCATTTTAATAATTTAAAAGAGAAATGCACATTTTCGTGCATACTTAGATTGACATATATGTAAAATTTAAAGTTTTAGATATGTAAATACATAGGAGTTGAGTGATATGCATATGTTTCCTTATTATAAGTGTGCGGCGTGTGCTTGCCCCATGCACCCAACCATCATACCCGGATGATGCCTACAAATTTTACACTAATTAGGCCCAATATTGCTGGAATTTGTCACAAATGAACTCTATACTTATGTTAATTATTGCCACCCTAAAAATTGATATAAAGTCATTAAGAAAATTATAAAAAGATTGATGTATTTTAACGCATCACATTTATGTTTTTCGTCTTTATTTTGTTTCGTAGTTTTTGACTCGATGTTATATTATTTATTAAATAAAAATAATTTGACCATGTAAACATTTAATATGATTCCTACTTTTGTTTCATTAAAAACAAAGTGAATAATTTCAAAAGTCCACTTGGACTCTCATTCAAGAGAAAACAAAAAAGTCAAATTCTATAATTTATATTTTTTAGAAAATTACAAACACAACCCGTATTTTCCATTTTTATAATGTGGTCCAAAGATTTACAAGCATGCCATCACTCATTAATATGGGTGTAAACGAGCTGAACACAAGCAGAAAAAGTGTGTTCGTGTTCGGCTCCTTTGCTTAGCGAGCTGAACACTAGCCGTTCATGAACAAAAAAATCATTTTGACAATCTTATTATGTTAGAGATTGAGACAATTTAAAATATCATTTGAATTTAATTTAATAAATTTTATTCTATTTTTTAATTAATAACTTTAATTGATTATAAATTTTTGTAGTCTTAAAAATTGATTAGTATTATTTGGAGCAACAAACCGTTTTGACAGCCAACTCATTAACGTGCAACACAGGTACCTCCACCACGAAGCCACTCCCCACATCATCCACCGCGACATAAAAGCCAGCAACGTCCTCATCGACTCCGACTTCCAACCCCTCGTGGCCGACTTCGGCTTCGCCAAACTGATCCCCGACGGCGTCAGCCACATGACCACCCGCGTCAAAGGCACTCTCGGCTACCTCGCCCCCGAATACGCCATGTGGGGCAAGGTCTCCGAAAGCTGCGACGTCTACAGCTTCGGCATCCTCCTCCTCGAGCTCGTCTCCGGCCGCAAGCCCATCGAAAAGCTCCCCGGCGGCATCAAGCGCACCATCACCGAATGGGCCGAGCCCCTCATTTCCGCCGGCAGTCTCTTTCGAT